CGCGCGCACTATGCTCAAGTGCGCGCATTTCTGCCGTTACTCGTGCTTGCCTCTTGTGTGCATGGTAGGCCCAACTGGCGGCATTCTTGAGCTGCCTAGCCACTTCCGCATCAGCGCGCTGCTGCGCGCTGATGAAGATCGTGTGTTTCGACTGCCGATAAGCCACAAACCAGTGCCTTGAATCGCCGATAGTTGCCTAGAGGTTCACAAACCGCACCCCTCTAAACGATATAATTGCTATAGAATTTTGGTGAAAAACTAAAGCAAAGAGGATGAACAAAAAGTTCTTGAGTTCTTATTAATTCTTCAATGATGAAAAATAACATTGGGGAAGGGGCCTTTATATAGGCACAAAATATATCTAGTCCTAATCTACCTAGGGATTTATTAAAGCTATAAAATATTAAGTAACCTAAACAATCTAGATATTATAAAGCAATAAGGAAAGTAAATATCTAGTAGAATCCTAATAAACTAGAAGGTCTTGATCTCCAAGTTACTTGCACTCCAAGCACTCTCTCTCTCCCTCTCTCGCACGCCCCTTGCACGCCGCCCTCGCGCCAACCGCCTCGCACGCCGTCGCATGCCTAGTCCTTGGCGGCTTGGTTTCTTGTGCGCGCGCGCTACACGCGTGGCCTCTCGTATGTGCGCCCTGCTTGCGGTCCCTCTCTTGCGCGTGCAACCCGTCACACAGCACTCCTATGCCCGTGCGGTTTAGGCACCCCGCGCTTGTGGTGCACTTGCGCGCTATCGCGCGCCCACCGCTTCGCCCGATCTCCTCGCGTGCGTGTAGCCGTGCGCCCGGCTTTCCTGTACGGGCAAGGACTCTGCCCGCGTGCATGTCACCCGCACTTCCATCGCGCCCAGTGCCTCCGCTGTCCCACGCCAGCGCGTCTCGGCCACCTTCGCGCATGTTGCGCATGTCTCGTGACCATGCTCGCCCATGTACGCCCAACGCCCACGCATCACCACCCGATGCGCGCCTCTCGCCTATTCGCCTATTGGCTGTGCCCGACCAATCTTCACATTTTCCGGGCTCGATTACCACTTTCGTATCATTCCCGCCCCCTTTAAGCACATCCTTGTCCTCAAGGATCAAGACTATCTCCAAACTCCTCATTTCGGTTTCTCGGCTTTTTCCCCTTGGTTCGGTTTTTAGCATGACGAGTCGGTTTCCCGAGTAGAATTCCATTATGCCTTTCTTATAATTTGTAGTGACTTTTCCAAGTCCTTCAAGCCATTGAATTCCAAGGACTATTTCGGGCCCCACAATAGGTA